GCTTCGAACATTTTCTCCGCGGCTACTGCCATTTCATCCAACGAAAGGACGAATAAAACTTCCCAGATGCGTGGAGGGAAACGCTTTAACCAAAGCTGGCGGGGGGTGGCGTTATCAAATGCGCGGGTACCGAGGGGGTGCCGCATGTGTCGCAACAACTGGGACGGGGTACCATCACCGAGTTTGAGGTCCTCAAACAACTCGTCCCATCTAAGTTCATCCGACACAGCTGTGCGGGCGATCAACGCTTTCTTTTAACTAAATATACGGATAATTCTCGGGCATGGTGATCATAAACTCAAACACCCAATGTAAGTCAACCAATTCGCACTTAAATGACGTGTAGCCGAAACCGATATAAATCCTGAAATTAAAGACGATTGATCCGTAATGTTCTAAGGTACTGAATTAGTGAAGTCATTACAAAATGTACAATAAAGCAAACCTAAAATATGCGGCCAAAGCACTCCAGCAAGCAAGCAAAATATAATGTCCAGAGAGAGGCAAACAGTCGCTCATGTTATCTGAACACGCAAAATTCAAATGTACCGGGCATCGAATTAAGAGATAAAGAATAATGTATGGTGTTTGTGATTGAGAAATGTCAATAGAGAAGCAACCTACAGATAGAGTTATGTCACCATAAATCATCAGGGGTTTGGAAGGATTTTCAAATATTCAACGTTGAATACACTTAATCCGCGATGTCTGTAGGCAGGTAAGTGACTATGTGGGAATACATAATCTTTTCGGATCGGATGCGGTGGGCACAGAAATGGGCTTCGGCTTGGGAGACCCACATCTGGGAGGTTTTATTGCCAAATGCGGGCAATTTGATGTGACAAGCCATGGGAAGGTCCTCTATGTCGAGTTTTGATTGCTTCATGGCTAACACATTAAGTAAACAAAATAATAGAGTCAAATTCTTGGAGAACTCAGGGTACCGTAGAAAAATATGAAAATATGAAACACGGGTTCACCAAATATGTAGTGGAAAAGATACTACATATACAAATAATAACGAAATAAACTGTACATGGAACGGGCTAACAGAAGGGTTGTCCGGCTAGTTGAATGGTTCCGTTCTTCGGATGTGTGACTGCGGTAGATAGTGTGCAGTATTGCTGAAATGGATGGCTGCGACAGTTACCGGACGGCTTGACGATAACTGGTGGCGTACGCGTAATTCTTCAGCAACACTCGGAGAAAACGTGCTCATTTTTGAACAGGATTTCTATTGTGTTATTTTTCTGTATATTAAAACAACCTGTACAATCGTGTAATCAAAAAGTGGACAGATCTGGGACCATTGGTCACCAGCCTGGAACCCGAAATTCTCTTCAAGATTTCAAGACATTGAATCTTGACTTCACAGGTGGACTATGCAAATATGCACACCTCAAACTGTGGCACTAGCCGGTTAAAAACACCGGAGTTTGTGAAGCCGGTAATTCGACAAGCAAGAACTGTAAGCAAGCAGGCGCGCAGTGCGATGACAGTAGAACCAATACACCGAACAATGTCAAACAGAATCACATGAATCCGTGGTGATCAATAGCGAGAAGCGACTTATAGGGAACCAATCAAAACACACTGGGTGTAAATGTGTCATCAGGGCCCGTCGTGACAAGACAGTGCGATGAATCGGTGTAGGTGTGTGCGTGCGTGTGTGTACACAAGTGTCAGAGTCAGTCAATCATGGGCACGTGTCGATGGGACGGGTGAGACCGAAAGAGGTCAACGTAATGGGGCAAACATACTAACAGTGGGTGCAAACGGCGTGGAGATTAGTCATAGGCACGGTTCAATGAGGGGATGAAATCAGCATTACACGGTCAAAGGGAAGAATACGGACAACAGGATGGTGGTGCTGGGTGTATGTGTGTGAAGAGTGGCAATATGGGTAGAATTTATTCTACACCGCCCCCAAGCCGCCATGACTTAGCCAACCCAATACATTCTGCCCTGCGCACTCAGACACACGACCAACGAAAATGGTACAATTTACTCTTGTCACAATCGCGGTTGTATACTGAGAATGCGCCATTGCACCACTTGTTTTACTCCTTCCAACAGCATACTATCCTTATATCTATCGTAACGATGCCCTTGACAGTCCGAACTTCAACCTTGTGTACTCGGCCATCTTCGCCAGCTGTAGTGTTTACAACTCTGTGAAACCATGGGTTTCTCGGGACCTGGTGGTCGATGATCAGTACGAAGTCGCCATTCTGCAGGCTACGTA